CTTTTAACCAGTCACTTTTTAGCAAGGTATTGTTCAGTGTCCATGTATTCGACTTTACTTCCTTAGTTTTCTTGTTGTTGATTTCTAGTTTTATAGCATTGTGGTCTGAAAAGATGCTCTGTAGTATTTTGATGTTTGTAAATTTATGGAGGCTTGCTTTGTGACCTAACACACGGTCAATTATGGAGAATGTTCCCTGTGCACTGGAGAAGAAAGTATATTGTGCTGTTGTTGGGTTGAATACTCTGTACACGTCTATGAGGTCAAGTTGATTGATTGTGCTGTTTAGTTCCTCTGTAACTTTGTCAAGATTTTTTCTGATGGTTCTCTCCCATTTTGAAAGTGGCGTATTAAAATCTTCCACTGTAATTGTAGATTTATCTATTTCTTTCTTCAATTCTAGTAAGGTTTGCTTCGTATATCTTGGTGCTTTTTCATTGGGAGTGTAGATATTTATTACGGTATGGATCTTGCACAATTGACCCTTTGACCATGAGATAATATCCTTCTTTATCTCTTATGCTGGTTTTTGTCTTAATGTTTCCTTTATCAGAGATTAGAATTGCCACTCCTGCTTGCTTATTATTGCAGTTAACTTGGTATATATTTTTTTCATCCTTTAACTTTTAGGGTTTTTTTTGTCTTTGTATGTAAGATGTGTCTCTTGTAGGCAACATATTGAAGGGTCTTATTTTCTTATCCAATCTGCCACTCTTTGTCTCTTCACTGGTGCAATCACTCCATTGACATTTAATGTAATTATTGATAGGTATGAATTAATTGCTGCCATTATATCAATGTTTTGGTAGTGCTGTTCATTCCTTCGTTCTGCATGCCTTCTTGTGCTGAGTTTGTGTTGTCTTATTTCTTGTCAGTTTCTTCTTAGTTTCCAAGTTTGCTTGTTCTGCTTGGAAGTTCATTTTCATGGTAAGTTGTGAAGTATTAACTTTCATTGTATTTACCTTAAAGTCTATTAACTTTTCTCTCCATTTAAGACAATCTATTGTATCCTGATATCCTCAGCACCTGGTTCTCTGTGCCTACATTTATCCCTTCTTTAACATTGCTATTATTTTGATCTTTGGTTGACCTACCAGCTCCTTTGAATATGCTGTTGTAGTTTTGTTCTGCTCTGGATTCTGCTATCTGTTGACTGAGTTCCAGGTGATTTTGCCACACCTGTCAATCTCTGTTTGTTGTCTGTTCTTGTTGGCTTTCAGTCCAAAGAACTTCCTTTAGGATATTTTGAAGTTCTGGATTGGTTTTGATAAGCTCTCTTAGATTCTGTTTATCCTGGAATGTTTTGCTTGCACCATCATATTTGATTGATAGTTTTGCTGGATAGACGATTCTTGTTTGGCAGTTTTTTTTTTCTTTTAGGGTTTTGTATATGTCTCCCCATTGCCTTCTTGCCTGCATGGTTTGTTCAGAATAGTCAGAGCTTAATCTGATTTGGTTGCCTTTGTAAGTGACACTTCTCTTCTCCCTGGCTGCTTTTAGGATTCTTGCCTTATCTTTGATTTTGGAAAGCTTAATTATGATATGTCTTGGTGACTTTCTTTTGGGGTCTACCCTTCCTGGGATATGTTCGGTTCTTGAATGTTTATCTTCTCTTTCAAGATGTTAGGGAATTTTTCTTCCAGAAGCTCTTCAACTACCTCCTCTGTGAACTTCTCTGATTCTTCCTGTTCTGGAATGCCAGTAATTCTTAAGTTGTGCCTCTTCATGTTATCCAGAATGAATCTTAGACTCTCTTCAGATTTTTCCCCTGTTTTCAGCTTGCTCTTCTATCTTAGGAGTATTGAGAGATTTGTCTTCCACCTCGCTAGTTCTGGCTTCCATCTCTTCTCTTCTGCTCCTTTCCCCCTTTCAGTGTATTGTCCATGTCTGATATTTTATTATTAATCATCTGGGCCTCTTTTTTGCAGGTTTTGTTTCCTATGTTATATCAATCTTGTTTAATTGCTCTTGTAGTACTTTCCTGACTTCTTCCTTGTTTTCCTCCACCCTTTTTGGAGCATTTGAATTTGTTTCTATATCATTCTTCTGAATTCCTTCTCAGGCAAATCCAAAACCTGCTCTTCCTCTTCTGGGGAGCCTTTGTCTGTCTCTAGCACATTTGTCTCAGTTACTCTTTTCTGTTTTGGGACATGTTTTGCAATTGTTTATTGTGTTTGAGACCTTTTGTCATTTCCAATAGTTATGTGGATTTTTTAATGCTTAAATGGATGTTTATTGTTGTGTTTTTAAGCTTAGTGGGGTCTCCTGGTGGATATGATCAGGAGGTAGGCTTCCCTTTTTTAATATAATGCTTAGCAGCTATTATAGGTTCTTGTCACAAAGGTGGAATATTATGGGGTATGCTTGTAGCTTGGCTATATGACCAAGATTGCTGTCTCTTCTTGAATAACGTAGGGAGACAAAGCTCCCACCTCCAGGAAAAATGTGTGATCAAAAAAACCAAAAGCAGAAGCAGTATAAAAGCAGAGACAAAACCCACCACTTTGAAACAAATATGAAACTGTCCAGTAGCCTTGCTACCCAGGCAGTGTGTGTACACCGTAGAAGCCTCCAGCAGTGTGTTGGGGTATCTGCTCACTCAGGCCCCTCCTCTAGTCACCACTGTGAAGGTGCACAGATAGATATTGAGAAGTTAATGAGAGAAAGATTGTCCACTATTTTTGTCTCTATTTAGGTATCTGCATGTGCACAGCGTAATTCTCGAGAGAGTTGTGTCCTTTTGTGTTGGGGTTTTACAGATTGTTCTGTAGTTTGTCAGGCCTGATGGACCTGCTTTTTTTTTGCTATATAGAAAAGGCTAAGCATAAACGTTTCTTGATTTTAAACCATATAGTGTCCACTTGTTCTGTATTAACGACTGCCCTTGGTCTAAGCACAGATTTTTCATGTGTGCAATTAAGTGTTTTGGAGTATCCATTCTTTACCATATTATCCATAGCTTGTCATGATCCATACAGTTAAAAACCTTTGTGTAGTCAATAAAACATATTTCTAGTATTCTCTGCTTTCAGCTTAGATCCATCTGACTTCAACAATGATATTCATCATGCCACATCCTTGTCTAAATCCTGTTTGAGCCTCTGGCTTTCCATGTCAGTGTGCTGTTGCAGCCATTTTAAAATTATCTTTAGCAAAATTTTACTTGCATGTTATATTGCTATTTTTGTTGTTAGATGTCATTGAGTCAGTTCCTACTCATAGTTAACTTAGTATCAACAGGATGAAACACAGCTCAGTCCTGCACCATCCTCAAAATTGTTGTTTAGCTTGAGCCCATTGTTGCTGTCACTGTGTTAATCTCATTGGGGATATTCTTCTATTTTGCTGACCCTCCACATTACCAATGTTATCTTTGTCCAGGGACTGGTCCATCCTGGTCATATGTCTGAAATATGATAGATGAAATCTTGCAATCCTGGCTTCTAAGGAACATTCTATCTGTAATTTTTCAACACAGATTTGTTATTCTGTCAGTCCATGACACTTTTAGTATTATTTTCCCAAACACCATATCTCAAGTGCTTCTGTTCTTTTTTTTTTTT